ATATATATATATATATATATATATATATATATATGAAGAAATATAGTCTTAAGGTGTGCTATATTTATGGGATAAAGTGCTCAATATCAGAGATAGAGTGTGTAAATATCAAAGTGAACATAGAAGTCAACACTTAGAGGCGACAGTCTATTTCATCCTATATGCAATCGTCAGGCCTGACGATTGCATATAGCATGAAACAGGCTGTCGCCTCTAAGTGTTGTTATGTTCACTTTGATATATATATATATATATATATATATATATATATATATATATATATATATATATATATATATTTGTGTATTTTTAGTATTATAAAAGTCTTTCTGTGAACAAAGCATTCCGTTCCTGAAATAAAGTGTTACTATATTATTATATCACGGATATATTAAAACCCATAAGAGGAGAAATACAAATGGAGGGATAAATATTTCTTCCAGAGATTTGTACCTTTACAGCGTTACTCAATACATTACGCAGTGTCAGAAAGATTCCATATGAGAAATTTGACACACAATATTATTCTTAATTTATGTAACAGCGGAAACAATGTGCTATTTTTTTAATTCGGAAGGACGCTAACTTGAACTCTAGCCACGTTCCTTTCAGGGGATTTGGAATATATCGCTATTATGATGCATCACATATTACAACCCTTAACATAAATTAAGAACGATTAGCAAAAAAACAAAAAAACGAAAAAAACTTGGAAGTTGCTATAGAAATAGCCAAAAGCGCTTGAAACAACATACACTACAGACAAAATTTACATTCCCTTACCTGACTCCCAGATAGGAGGCACGAAAAAGAAATTACAAAACCTCCTACAGAAGGTAGCGAGGGAGAGCGGTAAGAAGGGACTAAGCATAAACTACAAAAAAAAAAAAAAAAAATGCCTGGTCATCAGTAAAAAAAATGAGCCTGAAATGTGATTTACAGGTTGGGACACTAAAATCAAGCAGGTGCGGAAATTAAAATATCTGGGAAGTATTCTGACAGAGGACGAGAAGTGCGATGCTGAGATCTGAAGATGTATTGGAATGGCCAAAGACGCATTCCAAAAGCTAGGCAGAATGAGACAGGGACATTTCGTTATTAACAAAGAAAAGAATACTGAACTACTACGTGATATCTGTCCTCCTCTACGGCAGCGAATGTTAGACGGTTTCCTCAAAGAAAAAGAAGGGACTCGAGGCAATGGAGGTGTGGTTCTACAGAAGGATGCTAAGTATATCATGGATCGAGTGTGTGAGCAACACTGAGGTTTTGTAGAGGATGCAAACAAGAAAGAAGCTTCTATTAACGTCAGAATGAGGCACCTTAAATTTCTGAGACACGAAATGAGAAAGGAGGGCTTGGAGAATCTGATACTCACAGAGCGAATAGAGGGAGAAAGAGACAAAGGAAAGCAACGCATGATATAGCTAGGGTCTGGGAGAAATAGCAAAGGGACAAAACTTATTGAGAGCGACAAGGTATAAGGAGAAGTGGAGAGACATGATCGCCTACGCCCTGAAATGACACGGTACATATAAGAAGAAAAACTCCTCAATTTTTTTCTCAAATTCTCCTTGTCTGTCATATTCAAGGAAACATATTTGAAAGAAAGGGTTACTATCCAAATATACATTTTAGATGGAGAAGATAATTTACATCAGAACAGCAGGGAAAGAAATCAAAGAAAAATATGCGAAACCATTTGCTATGATTCAAACATGAAAGGTATTGAAATAACAACATAATGTAGAAACACATTCGGAAACAAAGAATGAAAGAAAAAAAAACACCCGTAATAGAATTGGACATAATAAAAAAAAAATGACAAAGAAAACCATAAAAAAGAAATTGCAATCTATGTATGGGGAAGAAACAGAAAAGCAAAAAAATTCAAAAAACGTAAATGGATTAATAAACGTCAGGAATTAAATTACTTCCAAATGTCGGCATGTTGACGAATTTCTTTAGAAAAATGCGAAAAAAAAAATAATAACGGTAGAACTTAGGAGTGTCCAAGTGAAAAAAAAATGTCCTTTCTAAAAATCGGATTGCGTGAGGCAGCCTGTTAATGTATAAATAATGACTAAAAAATATTCCTATGTGTTTTTAAAATAGTTTTTAAACGTATTTAAAAGACAGAATTCTTCTGGAAATAATATCCGAAGAATGGTCTGAAATATTATTATCCTGACCTGGCATCTCGACTTGAGAACGTGGCCTCCTTTTAACATTTCTATAAATATTTTCATGACAGTTCTAATATGATCTCCTCCATGGTACCTATCACGAACGAATTTAAGCGTACCACTAGATTGGAAACTAGGTCCCATCAGTTTATGGTTGAAATAGCTAGATGTAAACGCAAGTTTTATTTTAATAGTTCTTTTTATCGCAATTTTCACAACTGGAACATTCCTGCGTTTTTTGCTTCTGTGCCAATCGCAATTTTATGTCTTCTTGAATTCTGTTTTATTATTGTCATTTCCTACCGCTGCAAAGTATCCGTCTTTTCCATAAATAGAATGTTCAAAAGAGCATTCCTCATTGGTAACCTGACTACATTAAATTTACTACTACTCCAGTTACCTTGATCTACCCACTATCCCTCTTCTTACCCTTTCTTCTATCACTCCTATCTGCTCTCGCTCCAAATCTTCTGCAACCCCCTGCATCCTAGTGGCTTCACGCCTTGTTCAGGGCGTAATGATTATTTATGCGTACTACCAGACTGGCAAAGACGTCACATCGTTTTGCTGTTGTAACCGTAACATGTAATCGTAAGTTACATTCTTAGTGTTTGTCTTTTTACAATTTTAGCATGTGCAACACCCTTAAATTTCTTCCTTCTCTGTCGCCATGCGATCTTCAAAAATCTGAATGCCATACCAATGGCCGTCTTCTGTCTGCCTAAAACCTGTTATTTTATATTGTTTTTTGCCCTCACTAATGTCAGCACATTTTATTTCACTGCCAGAAATTACTCGGTTTATCGCCTTGCTTGAAGAATTCAGAAATATATATATATATATATATATATATATATATATATATATATATGCGTATGTAAGATTTATTGTACTTCTTATACGAAATTGTCCTAATATGATTTATCATTACTTATTTAAATATATCTTTTTAAACATAATTTGTTAATTTTCAAGTAGGAACCTAATTTTCTTAATGTATATATATATATATATATATATGTGTAAAAGTGAGGGTGGCCTGGTGATTGCGTCTAGCAAGAAACAACCTGTCGACTCTGAGGGTAGACTTCAATGTACAGCTCTATCTCTGATATTGAGCACTTTATCCCATACATATAGCACACCTTAAAACTATATTTCTTCACACACACACACACACACACATATATATATATATATATATATATATATATATATAAATTACATTTTTAGAATTCTGAGTTTAAATTTGATACCTCATTCTGCATAAAACCCCAATTTAATGTCATAACGTTAATATCCGAATTATTTTTTTAAAACCTCTTCTCTTTAAGGCTAATACCTTCCAACTACCCAACCCCTACCAACTATTCCGGAATTTTGTATGACTGAAACATCGAAATGGAAAAACACTGGATCAATTTTTCGACTGCAATCAAAGATAAATTTTTTAAATCTAATTCCGACACGAACCCACCCCATAAGAGGTAGTTTGGATTTTGTTGTTTAATTTATATGTCCTGTTATAAGAAATACATGTCTGCTCTATTTGTGGATCAGGTTTAATATTTGATATTACGAGAATCCAAACCAACGGATTTATTACCACTGTCCCTCTCTCTCTCTTTCTCTCTCTCTCTATGCATATATATATATATATATATATATATATATATATATATATATATATATATATATAGATAGATATATATATAGATAGAAAGTGTTTGAGCAATTTATTTAAATATATATATATATATATATATATATATATATATATATATATATAGACATCTATATATATGTATACACACACATAAACACATACATATATATGGTAGGAGTGAGTATGCATACAAATGCAGCAAAATTACATATTACGACAATATTTATTTCTGTACATGTATATATATATATATATATACGTGTGTGTGTCTAATTGATATATATATATATATATATATATATATATATATATATATATATATATATATATATATATAAATAAATAAATAAAATTCATCGAGTCTGAAAGAAACCTCAACAGAATGCAGAAAGCACTGGACGGCCGTTTCGTCCTATATTTGGGACTCATCAGCAGTGCGCATCCACTGCCGAGAATTGAAACCCTGACAGTTAGGTTGTCAAGCAAACATCATACCAACTGTTCCAACTTGCCTCGGAAACGGCCGTACACCGCTTCCTGCATTCTGTTGAGGCTTCTTTCAGACTCGATGAATTACTTAAATATAATTATCAAATCCTCCTAATAATTTTTATTTTATATATATATATATATATATATATATATATATATATATATATATATATATATATATATATATATATATTATATATATATATATATATATATATATATATATAAATAAAATATTTACGTCAGTATATATACACAATTTTATGTATCTTTATGTATATAAAAAAACAATCTTTAATGGCTAACAGAATAGTCGAAAGCGCTCGCATCTACAATTTGAACAATTTTCACACAGTTTAAACCGAGAAACGGAAAAACTTAATAAGATACTTAATGTTTAATGAAACTTGTATAAAAGATGTACTGCTGCCTCAGTAATAAATTGCATATATATATATATATATATATATATATATATGTGTGTGTGTGTGTGTGTGTGTGTGTGTAAATGATTGTAATTTTCTCTTACAACCAATATATATCCTGCAGCGTAAGTGCACACAAATATTCATATGGTGTGTAGGCGTTTGTGTGTGTGGATTTTCTGATTGAATGACTTTGGTGTAAACACTTAAGAATATTCAATCCCAGTCCGGATGTCTGAAAAGCCTATCCAGAAGACGGCTGTAAGGTTCTTTCAGAAAATTCACATAAGTCTTTTATGCCCACCACCCCACAGATTTTTTTACCCTATTCATTTTTTTTTATTCTACTTTTTATTCTGTATCTTTCTTTTGGATAACTTCATTGCTTCTTTCTTGATTCTTTCTAGGAGTCTATTCGTCAATTGCTATTTCTTTATCATTCAAAAACATCCATCTTCTTTGCTCCAAATCACTGTCACAAGCCGCCCGCTCGTTCAGTGTTCCTCACTTTCTGTATAGAAATGTATAACTTCCGTTTTTTTTTGTTTTTATTATTTCTTTTTCCATCATTTATTTTCATACTTAATCTCGTCTTTTAAAGATTATATATATCTTTTTTTATATTTTGATTTACATCTGCTTTTACAGTCTATAGTTATCTCCCTTGTTTTTAGTTAACTCTTCTTTTCCTCCGCTTTTTCTTCTATCTTGTTCTACTTCTTCCTCCCACCTTCTCTTTTCAATAACTTCTTCTACCTGTCTCTGCCAACTCTATTTTTTCTTATTTGACGCTATACATGTTTATTCCTTTATGCGAATTCCTTCAGGTGTTGGAATTTAATGATAAGCGTACAGAGAAGCCAATATGATTTCGTATCTTCAAAAAGATGTTGTATTTGGCTAGAAGATGGTAAACATATCACCATTAAATGAGTTGTGTTATTTCGACATTTACTTTTTAAATTAATAAGATTGGGAGTGGGCCTCTCACGAAGAGATTATTTTTTATTTGCCTGCTGTGTTGACGGTAGAGTAAATTTAGAAAGCACTCATCATTCTCAGTCTGTTCATATCTATCTATCTATCTACCTATCTATCTATCTATCTATCTATCTCAGCCCATTCTATCTATCTATCTATCTATCTATCTATCGTAGTCCATTCATATCTATCCATCTATCAATGTTTATCTATCTATCTATCTATCTATCTATCTATCTATCTATCTCTCTCTCTCTCTCTCTCTCTATATATATATATATATATATATATATATATATATGTGTGTGTGTGTGTGTGTGTGTAGAGAGAGAGAGAAAGAAAGAGAGAGTTGCGAAAAGTAAGTGAACCAGTTAGATAATATTTTTAGAAAAATTTTCCCTTTATCGCATATAATCAACAAATCATAATAAAACTGTATATTAATTATGAAAACCTTTATTAAAAAAAAATAAAACCACTTTTAATCTTTTTTTTTCTAACTGGAATAAAAATATTAATTAAAAATTAAGATATTAAAATATCATTTTTTAATATATTATCTTAGGAATTCACATACATTTGCGCATCACTCTATCTCTCTATCTATCTATCTATCTATCTATCTATCTATCATCTGTCTGTTTATCTATCTCTCTCAGTCCGTTTTCATCTGTTTCAGTCTGTTCCTATGTATACATTTTTTTAACTGTAAAGTTCACCTTGTAAAAAGCCCAGGGGCAGTTGAAGTAGATGTTTACGTGAAGTGTGGGGGGTTATATGGATAAGAGGATAAGATAAGGGTTAAAACTGAAGTGATCGGGAAAACATCCCCTTGGGAGTCCGTTCCACAGGGCAGTAGCTCGCGGGAGGAAGCTGTTTACTTTCTTCTCGCCAATGTAATACGGAGGGAATATGGATGATTCACTAGTATGTAAGTGGCATGGCGGGTTCTAGCTGTGAAACAAGAAATGTAGTTCGTCCGATTCCTTTCCATTTCAGTAGCGATAGAGCAGTGAGAGATTCGCCAATTCATGCATGTGAGAGAGAGAGGTTGGTGGCTGGAAAATGATTCTTCTCCAACAAGGGTTTGGAGACATTTTTGAACAATCTCAACAGACCCCACCCGAATATGTCAACCGTACACCATTTTCGGCTCGAACTGGCTCATATAATGTTAGAGCATAGCATAAGACGTCAGGTACTTACTGAGATCTGATCATTTTCCGTGCATCTTTAGCGATGGATAGTATATAGGAGTTGGAGTTGAGATTGGTTGTGAATTTTAGGGGCCACATCGAGGTGATATCCGTTCATCATGACGGGTGGTAGTTCGGGGTCTGATCGGCGGTGATGGAATGTAGCCAGTACGATTTTAGAGGCATTGAATGTAACCAGCGAGTTTTTCCCCACTGAGAACTTTGCGTTTGATCAGACGAAGTGTCAACTGTAAATCTCGTCAAGAGTTTTAGTACTTTTTCTCATATTCTCTAACACTCAGTTACATCTTGCATCCTAATGGCTTTTAGTCCTGGGTATGACCGTAAACTGAATCCGGCAACAAGGCCTCTGATTAGGAGGTTGGGAGGAGCATGGAACCACTTCTTAATTGCTGTTGTTCCCAGGTCCACCCTCTGTCCAGGGTATGGCGATAAACTGCATCAGCGTCCAGGGTAAAACGATAAACAAGCAAGGCCTCTAATCAGGAGGTTTTGAAGAGAGTGAAACCATCTCTTAATTGCTTGTTTCCAGGTCAACCCTGACCTGGAGTGGTAGTACCTGTTAGGGTCCCAGCTATAGGCTAATAGGTAACCGCGAAACAGAGGTAAAAAAGCATTATGAAAGTGTAAAAATAGGTTTTAATACCAAAAATACTTTGTAAAAAAATTATTACCAGAAATAAATTTTTGAAGAAAAAAAAACTATTACCCGCAATATATTTTGAAAAAAGAAAAACAAATATTACCAAAAATATAGTTTTAAAATAAAAAATTACCAGCAATACATTTTTGAAATTAATATTACCAGCTATACAATACATTTTTGAGGAAAAAAATATTGCCAGAAATAGATTTTTGATAAAACAAAATATTACCAGGAAAAAAAAGTTGTCGGCATTAAATAACTATTTTGAGACCGGAACATACCTACAACATGGATTCTTCCAGGACTATATAAAGTATGCGAAATAACACTCTAGAGAGGAGGTGGAGGAGGAGGAGAGAGTATTCTAATACCGTAGAATCAGTCGCGTACAACTACCAATATTGAACACTAGCACATAGTAAGCTCCGCTTACACTTACACTATCTTTGTAACCTTTTTGTTTAATATATCTTTCTTACCTCTAATCCGTGTTTTCCTTCCGTGTTCCCAACTTTGATACCTAAATACCTTACCAGTCCCACATCTGTGTCGACGAAGAATTCGAGAAACGCATTCACGTCGAAAACCGCAATACCTTGCCAGTCTCACATCAGTGGCGACAGAAAGATTCGAGAATTTCGTTCTCACCATATCAATAGCGACAGAGTACTTGAAAAATACACAGAAACTCCACGCGTTCCCACAGCAGTGTTGAACGAGAAATTAAGGTGGTATTACTACATTAGCGATTTAAACGCAACACCCAGCGTCTACATATAAAATATATATATATATATATATATATATTCCGATACCAAACAGCAGTGACGAACTAGCGATTCGACATCTACGGAATATTAAAGTCTGTCCAAATAACATTACGAGAACGATTTCTTACACACTCACACACAGAAAAAAAAAACAGTTGGTTCATAAAACAAACTGACAACACAAGAGCCGAAGTACTATTTACGACTCAAGTTTTCGAAAAAAAACTATCTAAAATTTTTTTTATGTAACTGGGTTGAACTCGTGCATAAGATTATTCTCCCCTCAAATTCACTGAGGCGAGTTTTCTCTTTTTGGTACCTCTATGAAAAAAATATACATAAGTGTGGTGAAATTTTTTACAATTACGTTAAAATTAACGGAACGACGGAATTGCAAAAAAGCTAAAGACATAATTAGTTTACTTTAACTAATTGTCTGTCCATATTTTTTTTGTGTGTGTGTAAAAGAAAAAACTATCAAGATTTTTGGGTGTCCCTCCCCTTGGTACACGGGTTTCAAAGCAACAAAAATTCGCTGTCATTTTTGTTTGTCTAAATATGGAAGATTTTCAAAAAGCAATTGCCCCAATGCTAAAAGTAAATTTGGATCAGCAACAAAAATCAGAAGAAAGGCAACAACAACTATTTTTGGAAGTACATAAACAACAAATGGAATTCCAACAAATTAAGCTTCAGAATGCTGAACTACAACAGAAACAACTTAAAGAATTACTTGTAAATGCATTAAAAGGCTCAAACTCTGAAAAAGATACAATATTCTCCCAGCGGAAACCTTTGAATACGTACCAAAGAACGAGAAAACGTTCAAGGCTTTTCACAGGCGCTACGAAGATATTTTCGACGTAGACCGTGAACAATGGCCCAGTAAAAAAAAAAAAGGTACGTCTACTATTGAGAAAACTGGGAACTACAGAACATAGTACGTTCGTAGACTTCATACTACCCAAGAAAACCACTGACTTGGACATTTCAGAGACTATTAAGCTCCTATCAGAGCTATTCGGGCCTAACACAACCTTGTTTCCACAAACGTTGGAAATGCCTGAACACAGTCAAAGACAACCAACAAGATTTTCTAACGTTTGCAGCAACGGTAAACAAGCTCTGTAATGATTTTAAACTAGCCGAACTGACTGCCGATGAGTTTAAGTGCTTAATTTTCGCACAAGGTCTAGTATCAGCAGAAGACGCCGAAGTCAGACGACGGGTACTGACCAAACTTGAGAACGAACAAGGATTGACTCTCCAAAAACTGGCAGAGGACTGTCAAAGAGTAATGTCTTTAAAGTCTGACTCAAACACTATCGAGGAATCAGGTGTGGCTCAGATTAATAAAATCAGAAGCAAGTCTACTTCCTATTCCCCTCAAAAAGACAAAAGGTAAATCTCATGTTCTAAATTCCGCAGTAACCAAATTCCAAATAGGTTAAAGAACCGCCCGGACCATGTTACCATTGTGGTAAATGGCATTGGAGGAAATTCTGTCCAGTTAAGAACAAAAAATATTGCAAAAATTGCAATAAAAGTGGGCATACTTTAACTTCGTGCTGGTACGCCAACAGAACGAAGAAACACAAAAATAAAATCAGGCAAGCTCAATCTGACGATATTGCCGATAGGAATTTAAGGAAATATGTAACTGAGGATATTTTTAATAATTCCATTAAATTCCAGCTTGACTTGGGTTCCGAAATTTCAAACATTAATTGGCGTACTTGGCGAAAATTAAACAAGACGAGCTTATTAAAAACGGATAAAACAGCAAAATCCGTAACTGGCGAAAAGATTAACATTTTAGGCGAGGTAATACTTACAGTAACACTAAATGGAGTTACCTAAAAGCTCAAAGTCTACGTATTGAAAACTTCAGATAACTTATTTGGAACAGATTGGATAGAAAAATTCAATCTTTGGGATTGCCCAATGAGTACATTTTGTCGCAAGATACAAAGTACAATGTCCAATTTGGTAAATCTCAAAAAGGAACTCAAACAAAAATTTCCTCAGTTTTTTTCTGACGGCCTTGGGAAATGTATTAAAATGAAAGCTAAGTTCAAGGTGAAGGACGGTGCACAACCGGTATTCAAAAAGAAACGGAATCTCCCTTTCGCTGCTCTTGAGCAAATCAACAAAGAGTTAGATAGACTCGAACAAGCAGGTATTCTGTCAAAAACAGATTTCAGCGAGTGGGCAGCACCTACGGTCTACGTAAAAAGAAGTCCAATCAAATACGAGTATGCGCAGATTTTTCCACAGGGTTAAACGATGCCTTGCAAGATCACCACTATCCTCTCCCAAGCCCTGAAGAAATTTTCAATAAACTCAATGGTGGAAATTTTTTTTCTAAAATTGACCTCTCGGACGCATACCTTCAGATAGAGGTGGAAGAAGAAAGTTCCAAATTGCTCTGCATAAACACCCATAGAGTGTTGTACAAATACAACAGACTGGCTTTTCTAATCTGTGTTCCGTGTTTTCCTTCCGTGGTCCCAACTTTGGGTTCACATCAATAACCCATTGTGGTTGATATGCCATAAAACAAAACAAACAAATCCTAGTGCCTTCGATAATGGGGAACGATTAAAAAATTCTTCGTCGGCGTCAATGAACGGGAAAACCTTGTCAATTTTCAATATTTGCATTTTTGCCCAATTAATTTTAAAATAATGTCCAGCATTAATATTCATGAGTATTGATACAAAGTTTGTCATTAATATCAAATACAGCTGAAATACCACCACCAATATATACCTCCGAAAAAATACCTACAACATAAACATAAGATACTAGTGGCAATGGTGTCTTCATCTACGTAATGTCATACCTTTATATAGGAGATATTTCTGGAAGGTATATGTGCGAGGTAGTTTTGCCCCATACTGTATTTAAAGAGGTATATGCTCGAGTGAGCCTATGTCGTGGAACGCGGAAGAAGCTTCTTCAATAATTAACTTAAGAATTATGTCGTCACACGCAGCTATAAAGCTATAGGAGACGTCTGACGCGTTGTCACTTCACTAGTACCCACCCACATAAAAAATGTTTGGTAGTT